CATTTCGGGCACTCGATTTAGTTTCTCACGTCCTCGTGTTCTCAGTTTGATTGATTGAAAATTGCATGTATGGATGCAAAGTAAAGGATAAACACAACAAATGAATGCAATTGTGCATTGTTTGTGGTTTATATATCATTTACTGTATGATATGTCCAGAAAAAGGTCCTAAAACGTGTCACGGAAAGTCGGCTTTAAGGCCACTCAATTCAGTCCATCGTTACGCTTGATTTAACAAGCAGTTATGAAGGATTACAGTCCAAATAACTCTGAAAGTGGAAGAATAAAGGGATGCTGCGGCTCCTCGCTGGGAAGAGGAAATGATGTCACGGCGTGTCACCTCTGGTGCAGAATGAGAGCGCTGGGTGACATTAGTCTCGGAGACTCTGTACATGTTCTTTTCCCGGCTCTCTCGGGGGCTGTTTTTCTTCTGGGGCCCGGGATGGGAATAGGTCATCAAAGCGTGTTCATAAAAACGGCTACAATGCCAAAAAGAGAGAGATATTACAGAGCTGAACCTTAGGGTGAGAGGGAATTATGTCTATTGTTGTGTTGCTGACTGAGACCTCTGACATTTTGATATTGCTTTGGAGCGCTGTATGATTTCAAAGTTGTAAAGCTTAAAAAATATCTAAGGTATAAAAGATCTATGTTGCTTTTGAAGAGATGAACAACATGTGGCACAATTTAATAGCACATGCTTGCTCGGGATGCAGTATTTGTTCTGCCTCACTGTAAAAAAAAAAAATGGAGAAAACTTAAAAATTGGCAACTTGATGCATTTCCAAAAACTTGCACTTTGAATCCCGTTTTCAATTGCTTGCTTTTTCAGGCTCCCAAAATGGTGTTGTCGTGTAAATGAACAGCCAAAACACAAAAAGTGTTCAGTTTTTAGCTGAAAACGGTGTTGTGTAAACGCTCTCTTAGTAACAATAAATTAATTCGTTTTAATAGCTGTATAGATGTTAAGTGAACTATGCTATCTTTGTTTGCCACTGCAAAAATTATTTCCTTACTGTCTTGTTTTCCATTATAAACTTATAGACATTCTTAAATCAAGATACATTTATTTGAGAAGCAACATGACTGGAGATATTAAGTCTTGTTTTCTGAAAAATGCATCAAAATGTTGTTAGTTTTTGCTTAAAACAAGAAAAAATATCTGCTAGTGAGGTAAGAAAAATAATTCAAAGGCAAAACAAGATTATTTTTCTTGCCCCATTGGCAGATATTTTTCTTATTTTAGGCAAAAACAATTCCAGACAAGTCATTTGCAAGTAAATGCATCTTGAAAGACAAAAATACTAAGCAAGAAAATCTGTGTGTAAAGGAGCAATTGTCCTATAAAGCGAAAATATAGTTTTAAATCTGTAGGCCTCAAGACTCGACACACAAACATCAAGTATAGGTGACAATCAACAAATTTACATCACAACTCAACAAATAGCTAACAATAATGGCAAAACAACAACAAAAATGAAGTCAGCAAACTGCAAAACAATAATCCTATCACAGTAACCGCGAAATGTATTAATGAAGCATTGCATGCTGGGAACACACAAACCCTTAACATTTCAGCAATATGAATTTTTTTTTTGTTCAGAGTATGTTTGACTAGTTGGGACAACATCTGGTGGTTTTTATGTAGTTTCAAGAAAACCTCATTAGTATTTGAGACTCTAACGTGTAAGTAAACTGTAAAATATGTAGCTGTTCATTGTGGCCAAACAAAAGGCTGTTCCCAACAAAGGGATACAGAGTTGACCATAGAGTTTGTGCTCACGGAAAACCACGGCAAAGCCTCGGAAGACACTGTTACTTGGAATTCCATGTCTGAGATTACACAGGCAGGCCACCCATGATGTTAACTACTAGCTGAGTAAATGGGTTTTCTGAGTTGTCACTCAGCAAGATTAAAGGCGGTATGATCTTACTGCTGTAAACAGCATTACCTCTGTCGGTAAACATTACATAATATTTACAGAGGCTGCTCAAGAATTTACATGGAAAATGTGTAGATGCATAAATCAAATGGAAAAGCATGACACTCTTGTGTCTTTGGTGACAATGCAGTGTCAGTTTATCTAGTGTATTCTATGTAAAAAATAAGACAGATTCAATGCAATCGCTACACTGTTTACAAAAGGTTTTGAGTCTCAAATACTAATGCAGTTTTCTTTAAACTACATAAAACCCACATCAGACTAAACAGAATTCACCCAAATGTTCCAAACCGTATGAGTTTCTTTCTTGTGTGGAACATAAAAGAAGATGTTTAGGTAACCAGACAGTTGCTGGTAGCCATCGACTTCCATAGTATGGGAAGAAATACTATGGAAGTCAATGGGTACCACCAATTGTTTGGTTGCCAACATTCTTCAAAATATCTTCTGTTGTGTTCAAGAAGCTCATACGGGTTTAGAACACTTTTAATTTTTGTGTGAAATATCCTTTTAGTTACTTGTGTTGTGATGTTAAGAGCTCGTCTTTTTACATTTGTTGGGTGTCATTGTTCCTGAGGTTTGTGTGTCAGTGTGTTCAACTGTTTAAAACTATATCCTGGATGTCTTTGCTTTGTAGGATGATTGGTCCTTCAAGAATAAATATAGCAGTCACTTAAGATATTGAGTGTACTATAAAACTACAGCTATTGATACAACATAATCATTTATTGTGTTACTGAATTAAAATTTGCTGAACAAGAAAACTGTTGTTGTCTTGATGAATTTATTGGCTGAATGAGGCATTTTGCATTTAGTGAGTGAACAAATTCAAATTGACAAAAAGTATAATTAGTACAATTTTTGAGAGAACTTGTCTTGGATTTATTTATTTTTTTTTAATAGTAAAAACAGTTTATTTTACTGGCCATTTAGCAGATGCTTCATCCGAAATGACTGAACTGCCTCCTTGAAGAAACCCGAGGTTAAGTGTCTCGCTCCGGGGCACAATGGTGATGGAGTCGGACTGGAATTTCGGCAGCTCTCCAGTTTCTAGGTCTCTCCACCTGGGGTTGAACCCACAATCCTGAAGCCAGCAGCCCGGATCCTTAACCATTAAGCCATGACATCATGCTTCATAAATGCAAACACAAAACACCTGCAGATAGAGAAGATTGATGAGCTGAAATCACAGATACAGTCTTCTCTTATCATGACGACAGGTTCGGTGCACAGCAGCAGAATTTGCAAACTCACTTCAGTTATCATGGTTTGTGGTTTTCTTCCTGTCATAATTATTGATCATGCCTTCTGACAAGAGAGCATGTTTTGGGCAATTAGCAGGGCTAAATGAATAACAGGAGGGCAGTGATAAGGAAAGCAAATGTACTTTAGGGTTTTGGTGATTAGATTCCAGAGAGGTTTGTTTTCCTCCAGTTCACTCAGTGTCATGGATCAGAACCGAGAGTGAAACATTAACTACAATAAAGTCATTTTCAGACCTTGCATTGTGAATGTTATGAATTTAAAACCAGAAAAAAAGTCATACAATGGCAAATTGTTCATAATTCACTAACAATTTATAATAAATAAATAAATAAATTGTAACAAATAATTTTATTTATCTCTGTATGTGCTGAGATTATGGTTGAATTATGAGCAGAAAAAAGTCTGAAAATAGTCATGTGATGAAAAAGGGGTCATTTGTTGCTAAAAATAACATTATTTTGTGTATTTGGTGTAATGCAATGTGTTTATGTGGTTTAAGGTTCAAAAAAACACATTATGTTCCACATACTGTACATTATTGTTTCTCCTCTATGCCCTGCCTTTTTGAAACGCGTCGATTTTTACAAAGCTCATCGGTCTGAAAAAGCGAGGTGTGCTTTGATTGGCCAGCTATCCAGTGCGTTGTGATTGGCCGAATACCTCAAGCGTGTGACGGAAATGTTACGCCCCTCACCATACTGTTGATGCCCTGTCCGGCCGGAGCGACGAGCAAACAAAGTAGTTTCGCTTTCACAATGAAACGGCGTCACACACCGCGGCCTTGAGTGAGCCGGGGCCTAGAGTATGCGGAGACCGGCGGCTAGAGTGAGCTAGAGTGAGCGGAGACCGGCGGCTA